CCTCCCAAAGTGCTGGGATTAGCTGAAATTAGCTTTAATATAAAACTTTCAGATGCCAGCAGAATAGCCATGCAGGCCTGTGGAGTAGGAAGTAGGAGGTATGAGCTGAGGCTTAGAAGAGAAGGTAAGACCAAAAATACAAATTTAGGGTCATCTACATGGAGGTGATGGTTGAAGGCAGAAAAGACAATGAAATTACCCAAGGAGAGAGTAGAGAAAGAGCAGAGGGACTGACGACAGATGGTGTGAAATGGCCTCATTTGTGGAATGGAAAGAGAAAAGGAAGTGACCAGGAAATGAAGGGCAATGTACAAGAGTAGAGATTTTCTCCGAAAGGATGGGTCAGCTTTGGCAAATGCTGCAGAGAGCGTGTAGGGGAAGAGGAGTCCCGCCACTTTGTTTGGAGCAGTGTGAATAGGCGAGCGAGGGGTGTGTGGGGGCCATCTCCTAGGACAACAGTGTGCTCTCTTGCTCTCTTTCAATCATATAATTCTTTGTCTCTGTATTTTTAAATTAAAAGGTGTTTTGATATACTTGGTTTTTTTTGTTTTGTTTTGTTTTTTAAATTTCTGAGCCCTAGAGTGAGCTCCCCACTTTGGCTGAGCTGAGCTCAATCCTGTATTCAGTGTTTGCCATCAGGAACCCTGATGGTTCATTCAACCCTGGACTGTGTTGGGGCAGGCCCAGTGCCGCCGCCCTGCATGGTCCAGTGAGGACAGCACCGCACTGGAGCCCCCAGCCTGAGCTGGCCGCTCAGCTGGGACACTGAGCCCACCTTACCCTCTGAGCCTCACTTTCCTGTCTCTAAAGTGCTGACTATGCCTGCCTTAAAGGGCAGCTGGGAAATGAAATGAAATGATCCAGTAAAGCGCCCATAACAGGGTAAGGCACATAGTAGGCACTCACCAGAAAGCCATTCAATAAAATAAGATCAGAATTACCCAAACCTGAAGCTTCAAAGAGCAATTCCTTCTGATAGGATAAAAACGTAATCACAAGAAACTTAAGAAGACAGAGTCCAGGATGGATTTCACATCTTTAATCTTTTTGTTGTTTGGGCTTTGATAAGCAACGTGGAGAAGAGCGCCAAAGAGAAACTAAAATTGGAGGAGGGTGTTAGAGTAATGTATGAGATTCTGGGTAAATGATGAACCCCAATTCTCAGAGCCTACTATTCTCTGCTTCAAGATTTGGGGAATTTAAGAGAGGCCTTCAACCGAAGTCTGGGGATTTGACCAAGCAGTGACTTAAGTTATTATTAGTAATTAAGGATTGTATCAAGGCGGCTGGGGTCTTTTAAATCTTGCTTCAGTTATGTTCAATAGTTTTAAATGTAGAGATTAATGCATTTGTATTTAGATGTTTAGATAATTGTAGGTATGCGTACTTATGCTGGAAATTATCTTAATTCTTTCTCTTGCGCCACCCCACCTGTTGGAAGCCTGCCTCTTCAGACTGTGGAATCAGAAGCAAGGTAGCAGTGTCTGCCAGTAGAACTTTGCTCTGATTATTGGAGGAAGTAAACTGCTTACGTATAAAATGGCAGCAAATAGCCCCATGATTTATTTCCTAAGTTCTTACAGATAATTTTTTTGGAGATTTGATAATTTAAACCAAATTTAAAGCATTTATTTTGAAGGTTTTGCTTGAATAGCAAGCAGCAGATGAGGTTTTTAATTTTCTTGTTGTTTTAATTAAGGTATAATCTACATCCAATGACGTGCTTAGATCTTATATGTTTGATGAGTTTGACAAAAGTAGAAAGCCACATAGCCCCTACCCTTATCAAGATACAGAAGGTTTCTGTCACCTCAGAAATTTCCTCCCACCTCTTCTCATTAATCCTCATTCTTCTACCCTCCTCCCAGAGGGAACCATTCTTCTGATCTCTTTCACCATAGATAAGCTCTGCCTGTTCTAAAACGTTATATAAACGGAATATACAGCATGTACCCTTTTGTGTCTGGCACCTTTTTAAACTTTTATTTTGAACTAAGTATAAATCCACAAGATGTTGCAAAAATAGTACCGAGAGGTCCTGTGTACCCATCACCCGGCTCCTCCCAGTGGTGATATCTTACATAACTATTGTACATTATCAAACCCAGGAAATTGATATGGATATGCCGTAGTTACCTAGAGTACTATATCTGGCTTATTTTGCTTAGCATATTTCTTTTGAGATTAGATGAAGCATTTTTAGGGGTTAGTCTTTGGTATTGATCACTACACTGGCTAATTTTTGTTTTGTTTTTGTTTTTAGGGATGGAGTCCTGCTCTGTCGCCCAGGCTGGAGTGCAGTAGCGCGATCTCTGCTCACTGCAAGCTCCACCTCCCGGGTTCAAGCAGTTCTGCCTCTGCCTCCTTAGTAGATGGGATTACAGGCGCATGCCGCCACTTTTTTAATGACGTATTTGTTAATAAGAAGGGGACAGCTATTTTCTACTTATGGGGTTTCCTTCCTATAAAAGAACTGCCGGCAGCATAACTAACCACTCACGTGCCCAGTTGCCACGAGAGAGTAGGCATTCGGGGCCCAGGTTCTTCCTCTTCCCTTCTCTTCCCTTTCCTAGGAAGGAGCTATCTATAGGCAACTCATGTTCTCTGATTTTCCAGGGACAGCAGAACTGAAGATCTGAGAAGACTCAGAGACCTACACATGTAATGCCTTGGGTTTTTTACTTGGAAATAAGAGACTAAGGAGGATGGGGATGGGGAGAAAGTTATCACCGTGGTTGGAGGATGTGGCTTATAGCTGAGGCAGGCATGCTTTCTAATCCTGAACCTAGAATTAGATTTACCCACCAGTCACAGACCTCTTCTGTCCCTGGAGGAGCAGGACACCTGTGTTCTGATGGCAGCTCACTTCTGAAAGAGGAAGGGAAGAGAGGGACCAGGTAGGGGCTGGACTGGGAGTGTCCGATTCCTATCCCAAGCTCACCAATCAGGAAGTGAGGGTAGTGGATGGCCAGGAGTGTTATGCTAAAAGACAGATCAAGGGTGGAAAATGAGGCTCCTACTGTGTCTGGGGAGAGCCATTTGCTCTCTATTAGTGCTCTGCCTGCTCAGCCTCCTTTCTTCACTGTAGATATATTAGTTGTGGCAGTAAGGAAATGTCACTAACTTTAGCATTTAATTGTGAATAGTGGTTTCATTGCTTGGTAGGTCTTAACGCACTATCTTTTTCAGACTCCTTTTTCTTGTTTTGCTGCATTGCCATTCTAAATTGTTTGTATGATATTCAAAATTTCTCCTGTATTGATATATACATAGCCACAGCTGGAAGAATCAGGTACCTACTCATTTTAGTGAGGTAACTGACATAGAGGCAGTAAATGGAGAAACAACAATAAACAGAGCCAAAGGGTTTAAGGAGGACAGAAGCATTTCCTGCTAAGTCGGACACCCATGGTAGGGATGTGCCAAGTAGGCCTGTGTAGCCAGGCACCAAGTGTTATCAAGGATTCTTAATTAATGTTACCTTCATATGCATATATCTTAATGAATTCCAATAAAAGCTTAGAAATGCTTGTTACCAGTGATTTCACATGTCTAGCAGCATCTTGTCATTGGTTTCTTTTGTCTTAGCCAGAACTGTACAAATCATACATGAGACAATATGAAACTTCTTGGGTTACCACACAGGCTCTGGCTTTGGCATATATGTGGCCTCAATTGGGCACAAATTCAAAGGAATGAATGTGCTTTTATTAATAGAGGGAGATGGTTTAGCTGAGGTTGGAAAATAGTGGCTTTGGTCATAAATCATTTCACACTGTTTGTGGTCTCTGGCGGCTGTGTTTATTCTTTTACATCATTAGTGGGAAGTCAACCATTTTGCAGTTGGCAGTTAAGTTGAGACAAAGCTCGAGGGATTTCAGATGTGGATATTCCAGATGATTGCAAAATGTTCTTAGAGACCAGTGCCAAATAGAGTAGGGAGGCAATAGACCAAGAAACGGAGGCCAGGGCACTAGCCTACCTGGGAGCTGATAGACTTCTGAGCTTCAGTGAGTCACAGGCTCCTCTGATCTGGGGCAGCTCTGATGGCAGGTTGCCTTCTAGAGCAGAATCTGGTGAGTTCCTTGAGGATGGAGTACTCTGATGGAGGAAGGGCACAGAGGGGAAAGAGAGGGCCATCCACTCTGGACATGATCAGTGTGTGTGGAGGTTGCCCCCCCTTGCACCCACCCACTGCAGTAGAGAACGCAGGAATGAGACCACAGCTGCTGGGCCTGTGTTGTGTCCTCAAGTCCGGTGATCCAAGTCAGGAGAACACCCCTCCGCTTTTTTTTTTTTTTTTTTTTTTCTTGAGACAGAGTCTGACTGTCACTCAGGTTGGAGTACAGTGGTGCGATCAAAGGCATGGCTCACTGCAGCCTCAGCCTCTGGGGTTCAGGTGATTCTCCTGCCTCAGCCACGAGAGTTGCTGGGATTACAGACCTGAGCCACTGGGCCCAGCCCCATAGTTTAAGACAAAGATTTCTTGTGTTTGCTAAGGTTTCTCAACTAATTAATAGTTGAAAACACAATTTGAAATTGATAATTAAGTACCTATAGTCAACTTGAAAAAAACAGAAGCTAAAGCTTTTGAGTTCTCATTTTACTGTATTAAAATGTAGTTGTGCATTTATGAATGATCTAATTTCTTCTTAGTACATTTTTTCTCTTTAAAATGGGTCTCCCAATACTGACCGCACAATGAAAACGTTGAGACTTACATAATTCAATGTGAGCTGGGTAGCTTTGCCAACTCTTCGGGTGTTTTACCTGACTCCGGGTGGTACCTGTTATGATCAAAGAATTTGGGGAACGTGGAAAGAAGCTGCCTCAGAAAAGTGAGCACCAGAAGGTTGTCGAGTGTAGCGCAGTTATTTTTCAGCAGTAGATTAGTGACCAGAAGCAAAATGGAGTGTTTCTTCCTGGGTATTTGCCGAAACCCTAGTTCCCCTTTTGCCTTAAACATCACCTAACAATTGCTAATAAGCAAGGAAACTTACGTTTTTATTAGTCCTCTTTGTGGATTATCAGTGTCATTTTCTTCTCTTTTTTCTTCTTCCTACTGGCTACCTTCAGGATTGCAAGTCCCACAGGATTGCAAGTTAGGAGATGGGGAAAAAGATGGGAATTAAAACCTGTGTTTTTCAGTGTGCTATTTCTTGGTGAAATGCTACGTAAGAGGTTGGGAATTTCTCTACTAAGTCCTTTAGAGACTAAACAAGTATCTAGGTGTTCATTTAACTTAGACTTTTTTTAAGTAAGGGATTTGAGGTGATTTGAAAGATGATATACAATAAAAAAGAAAAATGTGTGTTTAAGTTTGTGTGTTTATAAATAATACAAATTAGAATAGAAAGTTAAGAAAGAAATGGATGCAGACCTCCAAGCATAAAAAGCTTGGGCTTTGGTTAACTCCTGCTTTGGGGGCGGGCCCAGTGGGTGGGCTTTCCTTGGGGGCGGGAAATAAAGCCCCTGCTGTAGGGCACAGAACTCATTGATAATTCTCACAGATTTATCTCTGTTCAACTGACAGTTCTTGTGTTTTTTTTTTTAAATTTTCACTTGTATGTAATGCATTCAAAAGTTGGAGCAAAATTCAGAGTTAAATGGGTCGGCTTGGAACTTGCCTTTACTGTGACCACATGATTTAGCTAGACTCTCCTCCCCACACCTCCCCCC